AGGAAAACAATGGAACCTTTTCCTGGTAGGTGCCTTTGCTAGGCTGTAGTATAACTGTTTTCTACACTAAATCACAGGATGGCAGAAAGATTAATTGAACAACAACAAAAAAGTGTTTCTAAACTTCAGCCTTTAGTGACATATGTTTAACAAACCAGCTAATTGTTTTTGTTTAAATGTGCTAGTAAAAGAAGAAACACAAAGAGGAAAATATGGAATGAAATACTAAAAGTGAATCTAGCTAAATATGAGAACATGCTGATTGAAATTAAATCATCAACATTTTTAATCAGAAGCAATGTCTTTTGGCTTTTACTTTCTACAACAAATTTAAAACTAATATCTAGGCATACAAATTATTTATTAGAAAATTATTTGAGGAAAATCACATTTGTTTCCCAAAGCTTCTAAAAAAAGTCCATGTGAATTGGAATGAGTATTTTATAGCCTGGTTAGGCAGTCGGAATGAACCATTTGCCGGAAAAAAAAATTGCTTTCAAAACTGTCTGATAGAAGAGATGCCTTTTAAGGACAGAGAAGTTTCAAGCCTCAGTAATAGAATTCATATGGGGGAACTAGCTTCCACGAGTGAGTTTTAAAAAACAAACCCACCTCTCTCGATCCATGGTGGAGCAGGGATTAGCTTTGACTAATCCAATCCCGTACTGCTGGATAGCATAGTTACACTCCCTAATGGTATAGTACCAAGAGGATCCAGAGAAACATTGGGTCAGCTTTGAGCAAAGTGGAGTTTGATGCTCTTTTGGAGCCACTTATCTTGTTCTCCAAACAGAGGTTTGCACTCACCCATGAGTCAGGTTAATATTTTCTATTTGGGATAGAATAAGAGTTAGAGCTAGTCCTGCCCTCTAAGGAATTTCTAGTCTGTTTTCGAGCTGAGCAGAGGTGCTGGATTTAATGTGATGGGGCTATTGTTGAAAGGCAAAAACGTTCTGGATACCAATGCTTTAGGGAAAACTCAACTTAACACATGGTTCAATATTTGCCTACCTTCAATTAGCACCCTGGGACCAATCCTGCAAGGCACCGATTACTCCTCACTCCTGCTGAAGTCTATGTGGAGACTAGAAATCTCTCACAGCAACTGAAAGTGGGATGTCCCAATATCTGAGCTCTCCAGGACTGCCAACTAACCTCAACATAGAACATACTAAATGAATGAGAAGATGGGAGGATTACTGGGGCAAGGAAATCTGTCTGAACAGTGACCTTTGATTTGGTGGAAAGTTACCTCCCCTTCTATATGTGTAAATATAAAGGAAAATCATTTTAAAGTTCTCTTCCCTTCTCCCCTTCAGAAAGTTTACATGGATAATTCAGATATTGCTGGAGGGAATATGGGGGAGGAGGTATTTCCCTTCACATATGGAACTGCTTTAAAGCAAAGCAGTTCTGTGAATGAAATCTCAATATCATAGGCTAGATCCTCAGCTGGTATACCAGCATAGCTCCACTGAAATCCAATATGCCGTACAGACTCACCAATACCAGACTGCCCCTTGATTCTTTACCCCCACCCCTTGGAACTGTAAAGAATGGGGTCTATCAAATGGTCAATCAAAGATGAGACATCTAAGATCACAGAGCACAAACAGAAAAAGGTGACGCTCATCAATACTGGGGTCCAGTCTGCCACTTACCCTGTCCCAAGCTGTGTTAGTCCATGGATCTTTTATAGACCCCTTTTTATCACGTTACAAACTATAGTTAGAAATGTCACCATTGACATCAGTGAATCTGTCTAGACAGTTACATATTCCATTACCCCCCCCTCCCAAATTTCCAGCTACAAAAAATTTAAACAGTTTTGACCTAATTACAATAGAGTTTAGCACAAGTCTTCAGACAATCATTTTGTTTTGTCCTTTGCATTGGATACATTTTCAAACTTAACATTTTTGGCAAGATGATTCATGTCCCAATAACAAAATCAATTTGCTATCAATTTCCATTGTTTCTTCCCTTACAATATTTTTAACCTACTCTTCTCTTTTGTGTGGCTTTGGGTAACTTGTTAGTCCCATAGCATGACCTAACAAGCATATATGCAGTTAAAAAACCCCACCTTCTGCAGTTCCGAAAATTGATTATTCCCTCAGACATATGCTCAAAGCTAAATGTGTCTTTTAGTTCCCTTGATGACTTCCCTTGAGTTGCTGGGAGCTCTTAGGCCTGTGTGGCAGCAGCATAGTTCTGTCATTAAGTAGGTGGAATTCAGACATGGTGTGAGCAAGTGCAACACCATTAATTTCAGAGGATCCAGCCACTGACATCTTTTTGCCCGGTAGCACGTAACCATTTTAAAAGAACCCACTATCTTAACCTCTAATGTCTTTTGGTCAAAGCAAAGCGTTCTTTGATTGAACCATGGGAATCAAAAGAATCCCCCAGGTAGAACTGCATGTTTCAGAAAGGTGAGATACACATTGTGATGGGTTGGATCACAGAAACCCCCTTGGGAGCTGCCACCTGATGTGCAAAGACTACCCCTGCTCCTGTTTTCCCTGCCAGCTCAGGACTCCAGCACCCTGTCTTGTTGAGCCAGACACTCCCGTCTGGCTCCAGACACAGACCCAGGGTCTGAATCACTTGTCCCAAAGCTGCAAGTTTACCTGAAAACAGCTCACAGAAGTGTACTTTTCTTTAGCACACAGATGCCCAACTCCCAATGGGGTCTAAACCCAGATAAATCGTTTTATTCTGCATAAAGCTTATGCAGAGTAAACTCATAAATTGTTCGCCCTCTATAACACTGATAGAGAGATATGCACAGTTGTTTGCTCCCCCAGGTATTAATACATACTCTGAGTAAATTACTAAATAAAAAGTGATTTTATTAAATACAGAAAATAGGATTTAAGTGGTTCCAAGTAGTAACAGACAGAACAAAGTAAGTCACCAAGTAAAATAAAATAAAATGCGCAAATCTATGTCTAATCAAACTGACTCCAAATAATCTCACCCTCAGAGATGCTTCAGTAAGTTTTTTCTCAGACTGGACACCTTCCAGGCCTGGGCACAATTCTTTCCCCTGGTACAGCTCTTGTTGCAGCTCAGGTGATAGCTAGGGGATTCTTCATGATGGCTCCTCTCTCCCCTTTGTTCTCTTCCACCCCTTTATATATCTTTTGCATAAGGCAAGAACCCTTTGTCCCTATTGGTGAACCGGGAAGTGGGCGGGCTCACTGGAAAAGCACCAGGTTAAAGATGCATCCGAAGAAGTGGGCTGTAGTCCATGAAAGCTTATG